TCAAGGCAAGGCATAGTCCCGAATTCATGGAAGACAACTTTTGTCCACCCGATCCCTAAAAAAGGCGACCGCTCAGACCCGTCCAACTACAGGCCTATCGCCCTCACCTTCTTGTTCTCCAAAATAATGGAATCCATTATTAACTGCCAGCTCATGCGGTACCTTGAGGATCACCAGCTGATTAGTGATTGCCAATACGGTTTTCGTCGGGGTCGATCAGCTGGTGATCTTCTGATCTACCTGACCCATAGATGGGCGGAAGCAGTAGAGTCCAAGGGGGAGGCGTTGGCCGTTAGTTTGGACATTGCGAAGGCCTTCGATCGGGTTTGGCACAAAGCGCTTCTTTCGAAGCTCCCTTTTTATGGGCTTCCCGAGAAATTGTGCAATTGGATCACCAGCTTCCTTGCAGATTGGAACATCAAGGTCGTTGTACACGGTGCATATATGCTCCGACTACAAGCCTATTAACGCTGGTGTCCCACAAGGCTGTGTGCTATCACCAACGCTGTTTTTTCCGCACATAAATGATATGTTGCTAACTGGTAACATCCATTGCTATGCGGATGACAGCACTGGTGATGATCTATACACCGGTCGTGCCAACATTTCTCGGGAAAACTTCGCCGAGTACCGGAACAAACTAGTGTCTGAAGTCGAGTCTTTGCTGAACAAAGTCTTGGATTGGGTACGACTAAATCTAGTCCAGTTTAATCCTCAGAAGACTCAAGTTTGCGCGTTTACCGCTAAAAAGAACCCCTTTGTAGTATCTCCTCAGTTTCAAGGTACTCCTCTTCTCGCCTCAGCCAGTATCGGAATCCTCGGAGTCGACATATCGAGTGACGTGCCGTTTCGTGGTCACTTGGAAGAGAAGGCCAAATTGGCCTCTAAAAAGCTTGGTGTGCTCAGTAGAGCGGGACAGTATTTCATGCCGGCATTCCGCCTGCAACTTTACAAGGCGCAGGTTCGGCCTCACATGGAATACTGTTCCCATCTCTGGGCAGGGGCTCCCCAGTGCCAGCTCCTTCCACTTGACCGCATTCAGCGCAGAGCGGCTCGAATCGTCGACAAACGAGTCCTTTCCGATCGGCTCGATTCATTGGCACTGCGAAGAGATGTTGCATCTCTTTGCATTTTCTTTCGAATTTACCACGGGGAATGCTCTGAGGAATTGTTCGGATTAATCCCAGCCGCCAAATTTCACGAACGCACATCGCGGTAGAACTCCCGATACCATCCTCATCATCTGGATGATTGGCGGTCCACCACTGTGCAATTTAGAAGATCTTTTCTTCCTCGCACGACGACTTTGTGGAATATATTACCATCAGCGATTTTTCAATACCGATACGACTTAGGGACCTTCAAGAAAAGAGCCTACTCCTTTTTAAAAGGCCGGCAATTCCCCTGGTGTTGCAGTTGTTCATGGGCGGCGGTAGTCACTTACCATCAGGTGAGCCGCATGCTTGTTTGCCCCCTCTCCTATAAAAAAAAATGTTCCGGTTAATCTCCGAAACGGCTGACCGATTTTGACGGGACTTGCACTGGCAGATAGCTGATGACATAAGGAGTAACTGAGACGACTTTTGTTTTAGAAAAGGAATTATGGTTCCGCGCAAAAAATTAAAACCCATGAAATCCAAGTTCCACGCGGGCGAAGTCGCGGGGAACAGCTAGTCTAGGATAAATGTAGATGTTTATGGGCGTCAGTATCCACTTACCAACATGTGGACTGCTCGTGTGTCACTCTTATTCCATAAAAAAATAACAATGGCACAATAACATTTATGATAAATAACGATGGTAAAAACAATCGTTACAATTGTGACACCAACAACACTTCCACAGCTTACATACAGAAACTGTAATTATATTAACAATTTGCTTTTTAATCATACTAGGAATTAAAGTTTATATTTTAAGACTGAACTTCGAAACAAGGCTTTCGTACAGCAGCGAGCGGTTGCAAAATGTTTACTATCATTGCGCGAGTGCATTTTAGTTATAAATGGCATATTGATTATTTACCTACGAATAATTAAAAATTAAAAATTTTGTACAACCAACTTCAATATAAATTATTAATAATAACTCCAAAACTATAGGTCAGCCCTTGATAAAATTTATATGGGACCACATGAAAAGCACCAGCTTTCAATTGAAAAAAGAATATATAACACACATAAAAAAAACATATAGTCGAATTGAGTACCGTCTCCTTTTTGAATTCGTTAGAAAGATGGACCATAAATGTCGAATCCTATTCAAGAAAGTGTAAACTATTTACTTATAATTGTTACTATTTATTACTTTTTACTACATAAAACTAATCTCCTTGTAACTCAGCATTGTGCCTTGATCACAAGGACAATGACCAGATGCAGACTTAACATATTATTATAGCAGTTAGCCATGCCTTAGTTTGATTAGGCGTGACCACGCCTTAGTTTTCCAAGAGGAAACCGATTTAATCTTCTTCTTCTTTGCCATCCACTTGAATCGTCTATTGGTTGTACTGAATTCTTAAAAATACGAAAAATGACGTATTTCTTGAAAGATATGCCTGCTGCCTCATCGCCACCACTAGTCAGATTAAGGTTTGGGTTGTACATAATATGGATATTTCACCTTCACTCGTTTTTTAAATCATTTTATAGTTCGTAAACCTCACCTAGTTAGTGGAATGCACCGCTTACCTTTGATACTTTTCTTTTTATTTATTTATAATTAAAAAAAAAAAGAGTATATATATATATATATTTTATATATCATTAATGTAAATAATGAGAATAGCATTGCTAGAATGCTATTTTCATTATTTATATTGCCTGTATCTACGCCTGATACGCTTAAAACGCTTGTATTAGAAGTGGTCTACGACAGTAGCCGAATTGGGAATTTGAACCCACGACCTTTTAGAGTTCGCGATGCACACCCTTCCATTAGGCTACAGTCGCTTAACATTAATTGGGGGCATCCAAGTTAGAGAACAGTTAACAGATTCTACTATCAATCACAAATTGATAATACTGTAGAGTCTTGCATACATCATTTGCGGTTAAGTTATCTACCGGTTAATTTATCTTTACTAATTGCATGTTATTTATATTTAAAAAAAACTATACCAAAATTAATTCTATAGTTTTTAACAAACCGTTAAATAATTCGTTACTAGGACAGAAGGCATTTGTTTCATGTATACGCAAATAACAATATGAGGCTGGAGCAGATCGCTTATTCGTTGAGAAGGTATAATATGCCAAGCGGAATAGCAATGTCAGAGAATGCAGTCGAGCGGATAAGCACGAGCAATATGCGGATACAGACTCAATTTCAAGATGGATTCGTCTATTGTTTTATTATTTATATTTGGATTTATGAGTAGGGCAAGAAAATATTTTATCATTGATCATTGTAGCTTTAATAAGTTTTAATATTTTTTTGTTTCTTACCTCAATAAATTACTAAGCCTAATAATTATTCATAGTATAATGTACGCTTTGCATTGTGAAGAGTTATGACTTATAGTATTAAAATGATTGTTTTTGATAAAACTACTTTGGAGAATGTATTGCTTTTAATTTGACCTATTTTCAATTCCTCCGTTTTGTGTGCTTCACAGCACCCATGGTTACAGGGGACTTATGTGTTAGAAGTTATGATGTTTGTGATGTCATATTTAACCCATTTTAAATTTTCGCAGAACGAGCTCACTGTGTCACGAGCTTACAGTATCTTGAACTACTGTGAGCTTGGGTTTGGATTTAATTTTATTAGTTATAGAATTACAGGAAGATGGTAGCACCATATCCTCTGTTGAAATTAGGATTCCTTGGAAGGTATCGATGTTCTTTTGCAAGGATTTGTGGTCTATCAAAGCCGATGTACCTAATGGTAGGGAGATCTTGAACATTTTAATATAATGCAGACGTAAAAAACGTAGAGTTAGAAATAACTAAAAAATAGGTCAAATTAAAACGCTATAAAATTCGTAAAATTTAGTTTATTCAATCTGCGGTATTCGTGTAAGTATAAAAAATCACTGCGAATTTTTATGATAAAATTACGAATGTAATTGAAATATATGATTGTATCAAAATTAATTTTTAGAACAGAGGCACTATCTATTACAGAGTCAATATCTATCGACATATAAAGTTTCAATGCCTTAAATATATAAAACACATTAATTATTATAAAGTAAAGATCGACCTCCCATCAATAATACTGTACGTACTTTACTTATCGTATTTTTTATAATATAACACTTGTCAAAATACTTCAGAAGACAGTTGTCTTATCATGGCCAATTTTTGTGGTAATAAGATACAAACAGGCCACGTACAGCAACCGTGACTGGAATATTGTGCAACACTTGAAGAGCAATTAAATTTCAATCGACATATAGTGATGTTACATAATATACATTAGATAATAGATAAGGTTTCTTCTCCTTCTCCAAATGCTAATCTAATCTGTGGGTGGTGCACGTTGTTGATTAACGAACAATGCTCTGGTGTCCGACAAACTATGTGGTAGGGTTTCTTACTTTACTAGCTTTACTTACTACCTTTTCTTACTAGAAGGTAGAAATCCTTTTCTCCCAATGAATCCTGGGTAACACCCTCTTTACAATTTATGCCATCAAATAGCGCTTACAATCTGAATAAATAGCAAGTATGATTACAGATGGTGAGGCTTCATTCAATCTTAGTCCACAAAGGTGACAACGCATATGTAGCCTTCTTTGTTGCAAGTTGGTCACAGGTGTCCGTGGACTGCAGTAGCCACTTACCATCAGGTGGACTGTTCGTTCGCCACTTCAGTTTTATTAAAAAGAATATGGAGACCAATCGAAAATGTATAACGGAATCTTACATTTGCCTATTTCAGCTACTCTCAGCTCTTTAGCCTGTGTAGTTCTTAGCTAGTTAATAAGTACCGAGCTGATATTCACCTTGAGTGAATCTTTTGCCATCAATAAATTTTGAATTTGTTAGAATATGCTTTTAGAATATACCCTCCTTATGAAGTCGAATAGTTTGTAATAGCAGTTTTATTTAATTTTTTAAATTTATTTAGTAAACAAATCATGATGTTATTTGTTAAGTAGTCTAGTATAAATAACATAATTCAAATGAAATACAGACCAAAAACGTGCTTCAGACTACGGTAGCGACAATAGGGTGGTTTGCAACGTCTTCATATTCAGCTACTATGACAAATGGCGGTCCATTTCTTTACGCTGCTACTAAATAAAAAATCGGTGCTTGTTTTCAATATCGTTTGACATTTGATATATCTTGGGGCTCCGATGAATTTTGTTGTTAATTAATAGAATTAAGCGTTATTTAGCGAAGTCAATTAGCTAAGATCCGTTTAAGTAAAATAGTATGTGTCAATCCGTTTGAGTAATTATTTTTTATAGGATAAGGGAGACAAACGAGCACACAGTCAACCTAATGGTAAGTGGTAGCTGCGGCCCATAGATATCTACATCTATTCTCGATTACGAATCAAAATGCAGATACGTTGTCACCCGTGAGGACTAAGATGTAATACCTCGTTTCCAGTAGAAAGGATCTCCGGTTCTCTACACTCACCATACGAAACACAGCAGCGTTAAGTTGCTATTTGACGTTGGTACGAGTATTCCGTGAGAGCGTGGTCCTTTCCCGGTCGAGCCGACCCATTCGGGCTACAACTATACCTACTACTAATATAGCTACAGCATGGCTCTACCACGTAGAAAATTAATTATTTTATTATGTTATATACAGCGCGCACTATCAGATCCACTACTAAGCCTAACATCGCTATAGCTTGAATAAAATGTGTAGATTTGACCGAAAAACTAATTACATTTAAATGAAGTATTTCGAGCGACTTCCCATAACCTATAAACAATTAGTAGATCTAACTTGTAACTTGCATGTCTGATAGCCTTATCTTATATGTAATTTGGAATTCATACTTTTCATGCAATTCTTCTCATGATTCATACAATGATAAATTTCACGGGAAAATCCAACTATTGTTCTTAAGTTCTGAGAAGTTGCATTTTATCACTTACTGATTCACGAACTAACTGATTTACTGATAAGTAAGTTGTCAACACTTAATTTTTATATTTATAATAAAAATACTAAACAGTTTAGCGTAAACGTTCAAAAGTTTATGATATCTCACCAAAAACATAAATGTGAAAAGGGGGCTAAAGTCCGGTAAAAACGACGATGTTTGAGGTTGCCTGGCCGAACCTTCGTTGATTCGTACCTTGCTATAGCTATGATTTAAGGAACTGTTATAGACCTTGACAGCCGTTCACACAAAAAAAATTCGCCCGTTTTTCGCATTTGGTTTTGGTGGGATATATTATTTGACACCATTTATATGTGTATGTACTGTGATATATAGTTATTGAACAATTCCTTGTGTCAAGACTCTGTGCCCGAGCTGGTGTACACGTTCATCGAGCAGGCGCTGCGGGCGGGCGGGAGCGCGGCGCTGCGCTGCGTAGCCGCCGCCTCGCCGCCGCCGCGCGTCACCTGGTTGCTGGATGGACAGCCCATAGAGCAGTTCCTGCCACACCACAGGTACTTGCTCTCATAGTCTCGTTGGTCTAGTACTCGTAAATGCAATTGCTGATCCCGGGTCGGGTCAAAAAATCAGTTAATGATTTTTCTATCAAGAAATTCTCAATAACAGCCCGGAGTCAAGAAGTTGGCTGTGTTTCACCCCCATGCGTGTCGGGTTACCGTCCCAGTGAGAGTGAGGGAATAGAGAGTGCACCGGTGCTTGCACAGACACACTCTCGTATTCCTCCTCCTAACCTGCCTTTTTATTACTAGTCCTTTAACTAGAGTACTCTTAATAATTACAATTGACATTATTATGTATGTTATATATGTCCTGTGGGCAGCTCTATATCACATTTACCGACAAAATATTTAAAAAAAACAGATTTTTTAAACATAATATACTATCATTATCATTACAGCCTTTCACAAGTCCACTGATGAACATAGGCCTCCCCCAAGGAATGCCACAAAGCACGGTCCTGAGCCACCTGCATCCATCGACTTCCTGCCTGTCTTACAAGATTGTCACTCCATATAGGGGGGGATGCCCTATACTTCGTCCTCGATGGCGGCTGGGCAGTTAATAGGTGTCTTTCAATGGCCGCTGATGAGATTACGCGAGACCGGGTTTTTTTGGATTAAGGTCTAGAATTTTGGAAATTGTGCGCGTGACTTCGCTACGTAATTGTGGTTCGTGAAAACCGCCTCGTTTTAGGTTTTCTAGGGTTTAAGTTCTTGACAAGAGGCTTGTATTGCGTTTAACTGATTAAAGTAACTTCTTTGAAAGTAATTGTGCCGTCGCGTTAAGTGCCCTTTTTTGTGTGTTGACTGTTTTGTTAGTTTTACGTGTCAACTAGGCGTTTTGAATTCTTATCGCGGCGTAATATTGATATCGAACGAAGTAATTTAGTTGTGTTTGTAACGCTGAACCGTGTGACTTACCAAGAGATCGCGTTAGTTCACTACTCGTCATTTGGTGATAAATGAATCCGGGACATTGAATGTTGAACTTTGAATTGCTGTCCGTTGCTGTGTCGAGTGTCACGGGTTCGATTCTACGATGAATGTGGAATTAGGGGAGTTTCAGTTAGCTGAATGTACAATGAAGTTAATAGACTAAAATTGTGCCATGAACAAAGAAATGGTCCAGCGGGAAAGCCTACTGGAGTGATGCAGCATTGTTGGGCATCCTGGAAATCGGCCGCTGCAGGTCACCTCAGCTGGTCCAAGTCTCAGACATATACACATCACTAATGTTTCTTTCGCAAGCAACGCTTTACCGTGCTGCATTTACTATAGACATTGTATCATGAATTTATTATCAACTGACGTAAGATTATATCTATGATAGATACCGTGTGAGTGAGGAAACAACCCCACTTGGCGACGTGGCATCGCTGCTGAACGTATCGGTGACGGCGGTGGACGGCGGCCGTTACACGTGCCGCGCACACAACGCGCTCGGAGCAGTCGAACACTCCGCCAGACTTAACGTATACGGTGACTATGATGACATACTTTTTTCTTATATCTAAATGCTGGAAATTGTACCTGATTTCATAAAATATCTTTTCATCTCTTTTTTTATAGCAGAGAGGGCAAACAAGCATGCGGCTCACCTGATGATAAATGACTACTGCCGCCCATAAACAACTGCAACACCAAAGGAATTGCAGATGCGTTACCGGCCTTTTAAAAAAAGTTAGATCCTTTCTTAAAGATCCCTATATCGTATCGGTACGGAAAAATCTCTGGTGGTATTCAAATCCACAAGGTAGTTGTTCGAAGAATAAAAAATCTTCTAAATCGCACATTAGTGGACCGCAAGCCATCTAGAAAGTATGGATGGTATCACGAGTTTTGTCGCAATGTGCGATGGCAAAATTGAGCGGCTGGAATTAGTCCCAACAATTCTTCAGAGCACTGGCCGTGGTAGATATGATAAAATACGCAATGATATGCAACATCTCTTCGCAGTGCCAGTGAATCAAGCCGATCAGAAGAACTCGGTAGTCGACGAGTAGAGCTGCTCTGCGCTCAAGTGGAAGGAGTTGGCACTGGGGGCCCCTGTCCAGAAATGGGAACAGTATTCCATGTGGCGGTGAACCTGAGCCTTGTTAAGTTCAAGAGGTGTGCCCGTATAAAATACTGTCCCGCTCTGTTGAGCTCGTCAAGCTTTTTAGATGCCAATTTGGCCTTCACTTCCAAGTGACCATGAATCTGCACATCATTTGATATGTCGATGCCGAGGATTCTGATAATGGCTGAGGCAACAAGGGAGTACTTTAAAACTGAAGAGATACGACAAAGGGGTTCTTTTAAGCGGTAAATGCACAAACTTGTGTCTTCTGCGGATAAAACTGGACTCGATTTAGTCGCCCACAACACAAGTTTGTTCAGGTACTCGGCGATGTTTTCCCGAGAAATATTGGCATGGCTGGTGTATAAAGCATCACCAATACTGTTGTCAGCATATCAATGAATGTTAACGGTTTACAGCATAAAATTGATATTATAACACCCCCTCAAATCCATCACAAGACACAATACCGCAAGTAGCAGTAAGCATCAATGCAACTATCATACGGATAGCGCCCCCTCACAACACACCCACATGATCTCTATCGACTTTACATAGCTCACTTTAGTTCTGATCACCGACATCTTGTGAGCGTCAGATTATAAGTCCTCATTGATTGGGGTGTTGTGTGCACAGGTCCGCCGGCGGTGCGTGCGCTGGGCCCGGTGCGCGTGGTGGCGGGCGAGAACGTCACCATCCACTGCCCCTACTCCGGATATCCGATCAGGTCCATAGAGGTGCATTCCATAGGATGATTCCTATAACACACACAATTCATTTTAAGTTATGTTTACCCTCTTGAATCATTTAAATGACTGATTAATCGTTTCTAATTTAAACATATTTACGTACAAAATAAACATTATGTGTCTCGTTGAAGGTCAAATAAACAAAAGATTTTTCTTATACATATATGTGTTTCGTCAATTATAATCAAACAATCATATATATAATTTAAATTTAAAACGACAAAAAAGCCTATCTTTGATGCTTTTTGCTCTGCTGTGCATTTTTATTTTGATTATTACCTTCTAGGTTTTATTGGATTAGTATTACACAAAAGGTACACAATTGTATTTGTTGATGATGCTATCGGTCGCTGGTCGGCGGAAACCTAAAATCTATTTTTATTCAATGGGTACCATTTGACATATTTTGTCGACTTTAATTTTTTTCTTTTTCACAAGATGGCGTCTGGTCATCGCCATATTGAATTTTGATTACTGTCATGTCTATAGTGATACTCACAAAACTGATAAAAATCGATTAACGTAAGAACTGTCAAAACCAGCACGGCACACCCTTTTGGTCGGTAGTACGCCAGAAAAGAATAAACATACGAGTACGTACATATATAGGATGATCAACACATTACCCTCCTTTGCATCGCGTAGACGGGTAAAAGGGGGTGTGCGAACTGTAAAATAATTTAGTATCGTATCGTGTCGTATTGTACTTTGGCTGTGCTGCGACATGGAGCATGGTCTTGATGCGTCTACGTAGCAAGGAGCAGGTGCGTGTTGTGCGCAGCTCGGTGTGGTGGCGGCGGGCGGGCGATGCGGGCGGTGCGGGGGGCGCGGGGGGCGCGGCGCTGGCGGCGGCGGGGCGCGCGGCGGCGCGCGGGGATGCGCTGCGCCTGCAGCCGGCGCGGCCGAGCGACGCGGCGCGCTACACGTGCGGCGTCACCGCGCCCGGTGGAGCCACGGCTGCCGGCGACATAGATATACAAGTCCGCAGTTAGTGCCACCTCAGCACTCTTATATATATTTCTTCTTTCTAATTTCTTGCGTGTTCATTTCGGGACTGAGGTTTCTTCCGCACCAGTGGTAAAAGTAAGAAAGACTTTCAATAAGAATTACATATAATCTACATATATTAACCCATTTCTACTGCAGCTTACTGCCTCCTTAATCTAGTGATTATGAAAGTCACTGTTGATCATGGCCTCACGGGTTCAAATCAGGTCAGGCCAAAAGCGGTTCTTGAATATTTCTATCAAAAATTCTCAGTACCAACCTGGAGTCAAGACGTTGGTAGTGTTGCACCCCAGTACCTCGAAAAGTAGGTAAGGTAATTGTCCTGTGACTGAACTTTCTCGGGTCGTGTCAGATTTCTGTCCCAACAGTTAATATTAGTGATAAAATAGAGAGTACACCTGTGCTTGTGCACACTGTTGATACAAAATTCGGCCTGGAGGACTTTATTATTACTACAGTTTAATACGCTGCAGCAATACCCTAACACGTAAACATTTTGTCGCTCTTTAATGAGTCTATTACAGTTGACGAATGTCGTGGAAAACTTTGAATAAAATGAAAAGTAAATAATTATGTTGATTGTCTGATTAACTATGAGACTGACTTAATTTTTTCATCTACAGATCCTCCCAAAATATCACCATTCATTTTCTCTTCGGAATTAACTGAGGGCAGTGCTGTGCAAGTTCTATGCGGAGTGTCGTCCGGAGACAAGCCCATGTACTTCTCATGGCTAAAAGATGGTCATCCAATTCCCACTGATTTGCAGGTTAAAATTTTTAACAATACATTCTTAAGCAGACTTTTTTTCACAATCTTTTTAGTTTTCAGCAATAATTTTGTAAACTGTTTAAGTATGAGATTGAACATGTCCATTCGTGATTTCCTTTCCTTCTTTCTATTCATTTGTGACCATTTTCTATATTAAACTACGTAATCATTTTGTATCGACCATGTTTCTCCTACTGATTTATTGTTCGCAGATAGAAGAGAAAAGCTTAAACGAATTTTCACTGTTGATGTTCTCGGATCTAACGGCGCGCCACAGTGGGGACTACACGTGTCGAGTGTCAAACCACGCAGCCACTGCAAACTATACCGCAACTCTTAGTGTTAAAGGTATTTCCTTTTTTGATAATAAACAATAACAATTATAAGTAATGTTTTACTATAATTTTGGTGCAAAATCCACATTGGGTAGCATTTTGATGATTCACAGTTTTTGGTATTGCCTATAAAAGTAAACAAAGATAAGAGTTATTTACATCTATAGTTGCACCATCGTGGATCACGGAACCGTTAGATGCAGCTGTGTTATTGGGAGCACCTTTGCTACTAGAATGCGCTGCTAAAGGTTACCCCACGCCAGTTGTGACATGGTTCAGAAGATTAGGTAAGTGGGTAATTTTTAATTTTTATTTTTTTAATTTAGCATGCCGCTCAGTAAAATATAACATTAATCGAATTATTTTATTTATTCTCGAAGAAACGATATTAACTATCTAAAGTTGCTGAGCTCAAAAGTCTCACACGTTATAAAAAAGATAATTTACCAATATTTTCAACATAGAAATGTGGGTCGATAGACACACTTGTGAATTCTATTATACTTAACTAAATCTAAGAAATATCTTTTGACGTTTCACATTAATCATTCCGAAATAACTTTGTACAAGCGTACTCACACGATTTAAAATAACCTTTTACGTAAATCCAAGCAATTATGAAGTTATCTTTATTTCATTATAACATGTCTTTATCACTAATTTAAATTCGAATCTTTCAAACAATTGGCTATATATAAAATATATATGTTTTTTTAACTTTTAAGCTTGACGTTGTTTCAATAATATTTCGTTATGCACCTTACCGCAGTATTTGGATGATTCAAATTCAAGCTAATGCGAATAATCGGTAAAAATACAATCAAATAATCGAACGTGTACATTTTTTACAAACTATATGAATCATGAATGAAAAAAATCTGATTTCTTCATAAGTTGTGTGAATCCCACTGGGGTGAAGTTGCCAGTAAGCTTAAAAGATGCAGGCTTCCTGCGCAAAAAATTGACACTCGCAAAATAATTATTAAGAGACACAAATGCAAAGAATAACATTTTCAAGAGAGATGAAAAATATAATCAATAATGGGTTAGATATGTAGGGACACAGAACTTACATAAATTTTACTGATTGACATTTTGCACTTGTGTCCGGAGCGTGCTCGGCATCTAACGCAAGGCTTTCTCCGTCACTGCCCACGCTAGGCCGTTACCAAGTAGGAAATATATTTTATCGTCAATAACATATCTCTTAACCTGTAAAATTGTAATTTCTGAATACAACAGCAGCGACATTTTAGATTTTAATTATTGAATCCGATAGGCGCTTTCGACACCTTCTGTGAGTCATATTATGAGGTTATCAGGCATAAGTAACTAATACATTATTAGCCAACAAAATCGCATAATCATACACATATCTCGCACAGATATAAACTTGTTCATTATTCATTGATGAAACATAGCTAAACGGCAACCACATTGTACAGCAGATATGAACAGATGACACGTGCTCGTGGGAAAAGGTGGGCCTCGGAATTTGACATATGGGATCCGCCGGAGGTGGATTTTTAGAAAATACACAACGATGCGAAAAACTTGCGGTCACAGGGCCAACATGAAGAAAATTGTTATGGACCGCTATGAAATAGACATTAATTTTTAATGCATTATAAAAACACAAATAATAATTAATGTAAGCATTGATGATGACGATGACAGCTCCAACCAACTGTAGTGTAAGTGATTAAATAAATTTATTTTTTAATCTAGTGTACTCTTTAATTTATATAAATTTATGTCCAGAAATTAGCAGTAAGCAATAAATATGAAAAAAAAATCTGATAAATTTCGTTTTATGAGTTATTAACTTCAAGTTTATTCGGTTATTAATCTAGAAAATATTAAAATTGGTAAATCCAATTGGGCATGCCCTAAGCACATAAAAAAAACCGGCCAAGTGCGAGTCGGACTCGCGCACCGAGGGTTCCGAACAAATCCGTAGGTATATAAGTTTAAAATTATCAAAAATATTTTTTTTATATGATGTAACTAAAAATGTATGCCTTTCGCAATTTTTCTTTTATCTGTGCTATGATACGTTGCTTCGTACCAAATTTTAAGATTCTGAGTTCACGTAAAGTACCCTGTAGGTTTTGATTGCCTTGCGAATGTCGAAAATTTGCAGCATAAACTGCTGTATCTTTTGATTGCGATGGTTTAGAAATTTGATTTTTTCACAACTCCAAGGGACAGTAGACTTGAGTATTTGATATGAATTTCAGCTTGATACCTCCAAGCGTTCCTGAGAAAAAGGGTCTTGACAGACAGACAGACGGACGGACAACATCATCCTATAAGGGTTCCGTTTTTTTTTTTAAGTTCGGAACCCTAAAAATTACGTATAACATGATTATATGGAATTTTTAAAGTAATTTAAAAACATTTCGACATCACTATCGGCTTCAACACCTTCGAAAACCATTAAAATGACACCCATGATGAAAAAATTGATACCTAATTCAACCGCCATCTTGGATTTACATTTCGACAGCATTATCGGCTTCAATACCCTCAAAAACCATGAAATTGACACCCATGATGAAAAAATTTATACCTATTGCAGCCGCCACCTTGGTTTTACATTTGGACAGCACTATCGGCTTCAGCACCCTTGAATCATTATTCTAATCCAGTATTTAAGAAATTTGGTTGTTCGAATCTTGTATATTTGTACAGCGATCTTTTTGAGCCGCTGCAAACAACCGTAACAATGTCCACTCACGACGGCGGCTGACGCCGAACTAACTGAGTGACGCATTCTCTATTTATTAATAATTTATTCATACAAGGCTGCCGAATACACCGAAAATTTCGCCATTTCTCAGCCGAAAAAAATTATTAAAACTAAACAAAACAAAATTAAACTGTCATTTA